AATAAATTTTCAAGCCGTCGTAAAGAATTCAAATGCTGGAACTTTTTTTTTTTTTTACGAATGTTATGAGTTATTTATTAATATAATGTTGAAGCAGCATGGGATTACATAATCTGAATTAAAGCAAACGAAACAAGTAAAGATATAAGGGAAACGCCAAACTTAGCAAGCCCATATGCTACATCATTAGCTTCACAAATGGTATGGCAGGGAGGATACTTGAAAAGTATATTTCGACATTATTTGAAGGTGCGCTTGCTTTTACTATTTAGGGCGCCAGCCTTATACAACCATACCCTTTTTATATCTCACATTCATATATCTTTTGTCAATGTGTCAATTTTGACTTTTTTTTTTTTTTTTTTCCTGCCAATCAACAAGGTCCCAATCCTGTTGCTGCTCCCTCTCGCCACCATTCCGTATTTGAGATGTCCAAACGGGCTTGTGAATTTCATTACAGAGGAATTGAAAATATAGTGAAGGTTATTTTGGTCATTCTATTTCTTGTAGAGTTTGGTAGTCGAGTTTCATCACCAATTTCGTAAGTCTGGCTTTGCTCCCTTTAGGCGGCACAGTGTTTCAAAATTCAGATTGGTGGAGTGGTTCATTTATCCCATAGATTTGCATTGGATAGCTAGATTGGCGATCTGGATCGGTCCTAATTAATAATCTAGAGAAATATTAAAAGTAAATAAAGTAAAATAAAAATTAAAATGAGGGTTTATGGGTGGGGATTTAGGAGGACCTGAAAAAATATTAAATAAACATAAAATACTAAAAGAAAAAATATATAAAAGGAAGATGTTAAAAAAAATTATATAAAAAGGGGCATTTTAAGAGGAACCGGGGACTAGGACTCGTTCCATCTTGAAACCTGTTCGGTCCCAACTAATTCCTATCCAAATTGACAATCAAGATCAGGAATTGCGGGATTGTAAAACACTGCAAAGGCTCAAAGGCGGCATCACCGTTCAATCGGAATGCACAGTTATCATCCATGGGACCATAATCTATGGTGAAATGCGCCATCACCGTTCAATCAATGGGTCAATGGTGTAGGGATTTTGGTACCCACGAGAGCATGACATACGGAACTATGGATCGTGGCATACTGTTGTACGCATTTCCTTGCGATACTTGATAAGGCCTCTCGATTGCCATTTATGATTGATTCTCTCAGTTCACAGAGGGACAGAACTCACAGCTCTCTGCTGAAACTAGTGATATACTTCCATTAATGTGGATTGAAAACTGTGGATTGATTCACGGGATGGGATTTTACCCAGAGACAGTGTGGAAGAGAGAAACAGAGACCTTGAATTTTGAAAACTTCGGAACAGTTTCATGGATTTCTGTCTGAAGTGTGCTAAGTTCCACTTTAACGGTGAGTCAGCACCCAGAAAGCTGTACTCTTATGAGGGAGCTGTTCAAGAGTATGGCACCTGCGCAGCTTTCCTGGTCAAAATAATGGAGCAACAGAGACAGAGAGAGCAGTGACTGTAATCCACAGGACAAATTTGCCAACGACCTTTACTGATCTGACAGCATGAATAACGGGATATGCTATCAGAGGCCAATAGACAGCCCAATCAAGTCCCAAACATTTGCTTTTAGGGCACTCACTTCTATTCAAATACACGCCCAGCATGCATAAACCAGAATGATCTATATTTCTCCCTATGTGAAGGTTTTAGGGAGGAAAAATGTCTATACAAGTGCGAGGTTCTAAACAATCAAATTATGGCACACCTCAAAATTTTCCTTAGAAGAGGCTGTTTTGATGTCCAAATATCTTCACATTAATCATCTCAATCTCAAGATTAATGGACATGAGAAAAAAATGGATGTGGTTTCTATAAGGTTGCAACCTTAAACAATCCAATTAAGATGCACCTCCAAAATTTATCATAACATGTAATTTTGGTGTAAAAACTTTTTAGGATTATCTGAAAATCTATTTTTTTATCTAATTATAAAATTTTAAATTTCAAAAATAGTTAAAATCAAGTAGATCTATAAATATATGAAAATCTTGAAAATAGAACGTCTAGATAATGTGTTGCAATATGCACTATTTCTAGGACTCAAAATCCTTTTTTTTTCATATTTGAGATAATCAATTAGAAGGTTTTTCAACATTAAAACAACCTTTTTAGATGGAGCTTTGAGGTGCATCTGTAATTCTACATTTTAAGGTTGCAACTTTATATAAACTTTTTCCTTTAGAAATAGTGCATGTTGTAATGCATCTTTGGACCGTCAATTTTCCAGATTTTCAAGTTTTCATAGATATGTGAAATGATTATGTTAGGGTGCTCACACTATAGAGCATTTTATAATTGTACTCAACAAATTTGGATACTTATAAACCCTTATTTTGTAATACAGTATTTTTTAGTAAGGATATTTTTTGTCATTAGGATGGGTGACATCATCTATATAGGGTGTGACGTCACTTAAATGTTATTAGTGTGCTCCATATGGGTGATGTCATACTCTTCGTAATGACCAAAAATATTCTTACTAAAAAAATACGTCATGCACAAAATAAAGATATATAAGTGTCCAAAATTTATTGAGTACAATTATAAAATGGTCCATAGTGTGAGCACCCTATCGTAACTCCTTTTTATGTTGGGTGAGTGTGGTCATTAAAGGCCACTTGTAATAAACATTTGAGATAATAAAACATGAACTCGATGGGAGTGTGGTCCTGTGTAAACCATACTAAGCGAATGATGTTTGCTGATACTGAACTAAGCATGACAAGCTAGATCAGTCGGTTGGGAAAAACCTATGTTGCCTGCGCATAGAAAACTATCTGATAGGTCATCATTTGATGAGGTCAGAGTATGTCCGGATGAGTGAGCCAAAGGACTGTGTGAGCTTTGCGTGTGATGGTGGCCTTCAGAGGCTGGCGCTAAGGCCTCATCTGCGAGCCATCACACGACATGCATATATGATAGTCGTTTCGGGAAAGCAAACCACCTTTCAAGGTAAAACTTATGCATGTGCAAGAGATACTCATATACGCCATAAGAGTTGTAATCGCATCAGGTTTAGATAACCTTGGTACCCCTAACCTGTAATCCACAAACTAGGATTACAACCTATTAGCTCATTATAAGACTTTGATAACCCACCAATGAGTCCCTGCATAGACTATGGGTTATAGGAAATAATTGATCGGTTTGATAAAACAAGTGTGAACACTAGTCCACAGTCGCAGTACCTCTGCTTTTATTTATTTAATTCCTATACCATATGGATCATTCTTTCATCTAATGAATTTAAGGGAAATGACCTTATAAGACCCTTCCACACCCATGTGTGTAGGACCTCAAAGGATCACTATTAAATTTATCACTTATCTCTAAAAAAGTCAAGTCTCACACCCATGTAATAACTTTTCTAGAGATTTGTGCCAAATTTAATAGTGATCTTTTGGGGTTCTATACATATGGGTTTGGGAAGGTCTCATAAGATCATTACTCTGAATTTAATTATGTTTTTTTTAATGATACATGATATTTAGCATTATTATTTGAATTTTTCTAGACTTTTGGATATTTTATTTATCAAATTTGGATTTTTAAAAGCAAAGATATTAATTTTAAATTGATTTAATTATTCATATTAGGTTTTATGAATTTTTAAAAATCATAACAATTTTTAATTAATTTATTTTTTTTCTTGGGGAGGCCTAATAAGCATATGAGCCCACCTTTGCAATGTGGGTGGAGTCCATGAGTACGACTCAGGGTGGCACGCCCCACTCTAAAGAGCTTTTCAATTTTGTTGGATCAAACTTTGGCTTGAATAAAAAGGTTTGTGATGTTTGGAAATCCTTTGCCTTGAGGAAGCTTTGAATGAATTTTTTAGAAAGCATGAGAATGCATGTGCATAATTTTGGTAAGCACAACATTATAAATGAAATTATTTTATTTAATTCCTATTGATGGTAAAATGGTTTAGAAATGGGGGATAAAGGCTCTAACACCTTCTATGATGTTGATGACCCATTTATATCATGGAAGGCTCAAATCTCTCACCCAACAAATCACCCAAGATCAATGATTCATATTCAATTTCACAAAAAGAAGCAAGCCAAATACACCCCTAAACCCTAATCTTATTCAAGCATTATAAAAAGAAATTATCCCTACCCAAATCTCTACATCTTACATCTTACACCTAATTTTCATCTCTCTCTCTCACACATGCCACAAAGGGGGTACGCCCCACTTAGAATATCTCTCTTTTAAGAAAGTTGCTCTCTCCCTCAAGAGACCCAAAAGGACATGCCCCACTCTCTCATCATTGACATCTCTCTCTAAAGCCTAAGGGGCATGGCCCAATCTAGAATCTGTCTCTTCCAAAGTTTTGTAATACACCCCACCTAGATCTATCTCTCTCTTGACTTATGTTGTGGTGGTGTTGATCCTAAAGGATGAGTAGTAACAAGTAGATGTTATTTTTCTCAAACTAAGTTGCTAAATGGATTCACTTAATGATTTGAGATTTTGTGATAAAAGAATTCATTGTTCCATTAGATAGTTTGACCTAAACTTGTTTTTCTAAATGAAATTGAAGGTTAATCGTTGATCTCTCGCCATCGGATAGTGATGACTCGATGTGTGGTGTAATAAACCCATTTGAAATAATATCCGACAATCTCTTTTTATTTCTTATCATATTTAATTATATTGATTTTATATCCTCAATCATTAAAATTATGGATATTTTTTTTGTTTAAATAAAATTAGTTTTCTAAACATAAAAATTATAGATATTTTTTTTGTTTAAAGAAAATTGATTTAGTAACATCAAGGTTTTTAAGATTTTGGCTTTGTTAGTTTTATTTTGAAACAAGAGTTATCCTAATAAAACTACATGTAAGTAATCTATTTTACAATAGCGAATTAAAAAACAAAAAGACAAAATGGGATCAAAAGTTGGTCGACACAGCACCCCAAAACTAACCCATTTTAAGCTCATTATGATTAGAATGCGTAATTATTTTCACTTTAACTGCATCCAAGTGCCGATATAACCCCAAAAAACATCTGAATTTCAAGTGAAACCCAACAAAATTCCAAGAAATTGCCTTGAACAAAACAACACCGGATTCCCGACGTAATTGAGTAAAACAACATACACATTTCAGCTCTCACCTACATGAAGGCTTAGAACCCACACAATTCCATAGATCCCAAGAACCGCACTAATCTGCACAAACTAAAGAAAAATCTCTTCCCACTCCATTCCCAACCTCTGAAGTAATTTGCTTCTATCTTCATTCTTTTTCAGCCCTGTCGAACTATAGACCGCCATATGTCAAGGCTTGTTGGTCCAATCCCCACCATCCACAATCCTTCCGGAACCTTTGCCCATCTTCCCAAATGATCCCATTGCTGATGACAGCCCCTTTAAGCTGCTGCTCCCCTCGCTAAAGTTCCGTGACCTTCTAAAGGATCTCCTGAGCTTTGAGGGATCCTCTGTTATTTTTGTGGCTCTTGCGACAATGAGCTGGGCTATGTTGGACCGACAGAAGGGGCAGACAGGGGTGGGAAAGTGGGTGGTGGAGGAGGAGGGGTTTGGTTTGTTGTGGCAGCAGAGTGCAAGCGTGCAATGGGCACACATTTGGTGCCCGCAATCTCTCACCTCGATTGTGCACACCTGGTCGAAGCATATGCAACACAATTCTGCCTCCCCCTGCATCAAAAACAATAACATCAGTAAACACAAAACACAAGATGGTTAGTGTTGTGTTATTTAATATTTGTTCATTATAGTAAATATATTCATTTAATTATTACTACTATTATGAGGGAATGGACCAGTTAGATACATCACTACTCGAAATGTTAAGGACTTTGAGTTCCAGTATTAACAGCCTACACGGAGACTATGATTTGTAGCTCCATTTACAAAAACAAGGCACGATTTTTTACATAATTATGGATCACCTCCACTGTCCAAATGTAGGCCACCAAAAGTAGACATCAGGTTGCTAAGAATTTGTCTAGGACAGATTCTCATAGGAACATTTCCTATAACATAATAGCAAAAATAAAAAAAATTGATCCATGTGCATTTGGTCCAATGGATGTGATGCCAGTTTTGTTTAATTCCTATCGACAAGTCCCATTCTCAAGTTTCTGAGTAATGTAATTCCTGAGAAAAATTTCCAGTTTTTACAGTTTTTAGAGAACTTTTAAGGAAAATATTAAGGAAACTAAAAATGGAAAAGTCATAAATTATCAGGAAAATAGAAATAGAAAAGGAAAATTAAGGAAAAAAATCAGTTTCCCTAAATTTTTCAGTTTCTGTAAGCATGTTTCTTCAAAGAAGTATTATTGAAGAATATTTGGAAAAGAAATAAAATTATCACAATTTTGGAAAGAGTATAATTTTTTTGAGAATAACACAATACGTTTGGAAGGCTTTCAAAAAAGCAGGAGACCTTTCTCAGCAGGGTAGGGTTTAATGGTCACATAATGGTTTGTGACGAATAATTCACAGCAACCCAGTACAAAGTGCAAAATCCACACCGGAATTGCAAGGGATAAGCAAGATCTACATGACCATGTACGAACAATTAGATTCCTAGCTACCCATGATTCTCTCGTATAATATTTAATCAGTTATTAGAATCTCATTATATCAAAAGCATTCTTTGAACCTCAAAAAATGATTATCTTTTGAGAATGAAAACTGAAATGTTCTCAAGATAATAAAGTACACTTGATTTCAATACATTTGAATAACAACCCTTACATTCAATCACCTAAGTTACATCCTGTAACACATTTGCTTTGATATTCAAACAAATTTCTATCATTTTATTGCTCTTTACACACTGCTTATGCATTCACCTTTAATTTATCAAATAAAAATAAAAATTTATGTCTTAGTCTTCTTACATTAGTTTTGGTGGTTGATGTAATATTTTTTTTTTTTTCCTTTTTTTCAAGCAAAATAGAGTTGAATGCCCCTACCAAAATCATGCAAAAGCACTAAGTTTCTAACTTAACAAAGTTACAACTAAAATCTCGGGAGTAGATCTCATGAGGATGACAATTATTTCTAGAACATAGCACTTCCAGCCATCTCAAATGCATTTCAAATAATCCAACTATCCAACTGCTAAATACAAGTATAAATAGCCTCCTGTATTAAAAAGTGAGATGGTGCTTCTTCCAAGAGAAAAATGTTACTTGCCATTCCAAATGTTATAGTCAAATGCATATGTTTGCACTATTATCATTGTATGGGCTACATAATGTTTTACTAATAAACAATCCATTCAAACTTGAATACTGTCACGCATGTGATGCAATCACTCATGAGATAGCATCTTCAACAAAGCTAAACGATAGGCAAATACAATGAACTACTTCAAAACTTAAAAAGTAAGAAATAAGGGGGGGAAGGGGGAGTGGGAGGAAGTGGAAGCAGGAGAGGGAAGAACCCACCTCAGATGTATCATCTTCAAGATTCTCATCAGTATGTTCAGGAGATGGGGATGAATAAGCTGTTCCCTTCAAGATGTCTTTCTCTCTAGCTCTGTTTGCCTCCATTAGAGCTTCCTCTAGTAAGGCTTTTGCCTCTGGGTTAAGTTCAGAAAAGAACTTTAATGGGGATGGCCAAACCAGTGGCTCCGCTGATGTGGGATTTAACAGGGCTGCACATGCTCCATGGCCATGTTTCAATGCCACCATATATGGTATCCTCCTGCAAATTTTTCCATTTTATTAATTATTTTCCCAAGAAGAAGCTGTATGATGCTTGATATCAAATACCATTAGCTATTTCCTAGTTAAGAAATCAATAAGATGTTTCCTTTTTATCATACCAAATGGGAAAAACCCAAAAATGCATTGTTAAATCTACCAAATAAAGAAAACTGGTCAGAATCTTTAATATTTTAAACAGAAAGCCAGGTTTAATACTTTAGCATCTCATCACAATAATCTAATCCAACGTTTGTAACAAGAAAAAAAAGAAGGCTCGCATGATTTACGTATCACAATTCTTTAACCAACAACATGGTTCATCTCAAAGCTGATTTACCCAGTAGGTGACTAATACTAACAAATAGCAAATGCAGAAAAGGATCAATGGTCAAGGACATATTACCACAAAAAAAAAAAACTAATGGAATAATGAATAAGCATGATCTCTCTCTCTCTCTCTCTCTCTCTCTCTCTCTCTCACACACACACACACACACACATGTGAATGTACGCTTCTAAACGGAGAGGCATACCCAGACGAATCCCTATGGAGCCGATCTGAACCCCAAGCAAGCAATTCTCTAACACAATCCAAACTGCCCCCTCTTGCTGCTAAGTGCAAAGGAGTGCTCCCTGGACACCTGAAGCCAAGACACCATTCATATAAAAAGAAATAGAAAATAACAACAAACAATTAAAAGGAAGTTTCTGGAGTGAAAAATCTCTTTTTAATTAGCGAAATTTCTACCACAATCTTGAATTAACGGATCCTGTGCTAATACTGCAATTTGATAGAAATAGAAGAGCTTTGAGGTTATAAGAACTTACCCAAAGCCACTAGTTGAAGCACAAACAAGACCTCCATTGTCCAAAAGCATATGGACACACTCAGGATGTCTCGCCCTCGCTGCCAAGTGCAACGGAGTTGCTCCCTTACCATCCCGAACATTCACAAACCTCGCAAAACCCCTGTCAATTAATATTTGGCATTTTCATCATCAGACCAAAATCAAACAAGCCAAGATGTAAAAGACCTCACTCAGAGAGAGAGGGACCCCAGCGTGAGATAACATACATGGTATTGATCAAATAGAAAAAAGCCTCTAAGATCTAGTAAGGCAGAGTGTTGAAAATAAAGAATCAAAGAAAAGATCAAATTTCAGTGACTTGCCAAGAATCTGCCACAGGAGTGGAATGGGCAGCAGAGAGAACTGCTTGCAGGCAATCCGAATGGCCAAAATAGGCTGCGTAGTGTAGGCAGGTGCGCCCATGAATTGAATCAAACATCAAAACCTGAATACAGAGAGAGAGAGTAAAATTGGTCAAAGTTCCATCGAAAACCATAAGAAAAACTATCAAAAAATAAGCAAATTCTAAGAAAGAATAAATAGAAACACATACATTTGCACCAGCTTGAAGGAGCCTCTGCACACATTCAATCTTCCCATGCATTGCTGCCAGCATCAGTGGCGTCTGAACCAACCCATATAGAAAACCATATGAAAAAAACTAACTAAAAACACAGAAGACTAATCAAACTAGGCCACTCACTCCCTGGGATATAACAATAATAAGAATTACCAAAATAATTTTACTTAATTTCTTAAAGAAATTACCTGCTTATGACGATTAAGAAGATCAGGATGAACCGATCGATCCAGTATCAGAGAAAGAACCTGTTTCACAAAATAAAAAAAAGCTTAAATACACTGGAAAATGCAAGAAAAAATGTTAGAAAAGTGCCATCAGTGTTCAGGAAAATCCCCCCAATAAAATCCTATTCATATAATATAGAACACCAAAAAAATTTTAAGAATTATAATAGCATTAAAAAAAATATCTAAAACTCTCCAATTGATGAATATGCAAGAAGAACAAATTAAGATATCCAAGAAAAAGGAAAAGACCAAAAAATCACCTGGATCTGACCACATGCAGCTGCAATATGAAGAGCAGAGAGCTTATCATAGACTGTGGTCTGAGAAAGAAGGGATGGATCTCTCTCTAAAAGAGCCTCAACCATCTCCACATCCCCTTGTTGTGAAGCAGTGAAGAGAACATGCTCTGGACTGACCCTGCAACTAAGCTTCTGACCCATTCCCAAAAACTCCTCTGTAAATCTTAGAGCACCTAAAATATCTCACTAAATATATACACTTTTCAATAACAATTAAATGGGTTTTGATGCTCTTCTTTGTCCCTCCATTAATGGGGACTTATGAAGCTTTTCCTCCGAATTTCAACACCAAAAACCCAGTTTTTTTTTTTTAATGTTTTGTAAGGTTTTTGACGAGAGAGAGAGAGAGAGAGAGAGAGAGGAGGGAGGGAGGGGGGGCGACGACCGACCAGAGTCTCCGACCGACGACGACGAGGTAGGACGGACGGGAGGGTGTGTAGTTAAGTTAGTCTATATAGTACTACTTACTTACCGTT